GAACGCTCAACCTCTAGACCACTGGGCCGGCATCCAACGGTGTTAATGTCTAACTCTGATTGATCTAGGGATTTTGCGCGACCTCATCGATTTGTCTTCGGTAGTTACTGCCTACATCCGACATGGTTGAACTCCACTGGACACGTCTTCTCACTAGAACTCCGAAATATTATTATTTCTAGGTTGCAGGCAGAAGCTAAAGAGTTTTCCACGTATTACATGAATTCATATTATTCTGCTACATTTATTGTCTTTCTTTTTACTGTGATTGTAAATCTAGTCTAGTAGTCTAGCAATACAAATAATGCTGATGAGACTATCATTTATGAACGGCTTTTGAGTGACGCCAAAGTGACCTTGAGAAAATTCACCTATCGGTTACGAACTAGTGTAAGGAACTAGAATTGAAATTTTGAGTTGGAGGTTAGGTCTAGAAACAAGAATTAGAACTTTCATGTCGAATTAACATCAACTATAATACAAAAATACTGTTTAGTCATATGTATGAATGAATGTCGCGCCAAAATCCAAGACTCGTGATCTTGAATTTGATTGGTTCGTTAATTCATTATCAGTCAGTCAACGTAGAACTTCGTACGTAAGTACATCAGTTCATGTCGCCATACCACATTAGCACAGAGATGTAATTGTCAATTCAAATCCAATAGTAGAAGAGTTAGTAAGGGTATTAGAAGTAATCGGAGAGGTTAGGATTAGAAGATATTATTCAAGAAGTATGATTCACTGAGAAAAGTTTAGAAGGTCAAAACTAGAGGTGTTGAAGAATCCAGAAGATTAGGATTTGAGAGCACAAAGAATAAATGCACCGGCGCCATTGCAAACGGTTTTGAGCCATGTGTCATTCAGGGTCTCTAACCATCGATTATTATCATCTCGCGGATCCCAACCAGGTAGTCGACAATTACCGATATGGCTAAGTCCATTCGTCGATGATTTCATGGATTTGTGCCATGTTTTGGTCTGCCCGCCCCTACCTCTCTTCCAACCTATTCCTACACTACATTATAGTCTCACCGTAATAGTAATCTAGTTGATTAGTGCCGTCTCAGTTCTGGGGTTGAGAGCGTTATCCTAGCTAGCTAAATTAAGTCCTACATGTTCCTCACAAAAATGGACTTCGAAAATTTCAAATCGATAGATCGATACTAAACAAGTTTTTTTATTGGTTTCACTACAGTAGACATTTTTTCATATATGTATTTAGTTCTAAAAGTCAATTTTTCGTAGAATAATTCAACCATAGTAAGCAAACATTGGTTTGCTTACTATGGTTGGAATAGTCGGTATGTCTTCTTTTTGTGTTTTTGATATAAATTCTTAAGAAACAATTAATTCATGCATGTTATTTGATATAATTGAGAACTTGATATTGTCAGTTTTTTGTGTATAGGGTACATATTTATTTTACATAAATCTATAAAAATGCAGTTGGTATGAATTATACGTTTAGGTGTTTCTTTTTACGAATTGTATCAATGCATGTTTTGTAGTGTTGCATTCAGTAGTATATATTTATAACACAATAAATTATTGTGACAGGGAGTGAAGTAGTCGAGCGAGTAGACCGCTTCACTTACCTCGAGAGTCTCATCAATGCTGATGGCCTGGTGACTGACAAAATCTCAGCAAGGATACAGAAAGCTCGATTGGCTCTTGTCAACTTGCGTCACTTATGCCGCAGGCGAGATATCCGTTTGCTAACCAAAGGACGAGTGTACTGTGCAGTAGTTCGCTCTGTCCTACAATATGGATGAGAAACATGTCCGGTAAGAGCAGAGGACATTCGTAGGTTATTAGTATTCGATCATAGATGTCCATGTATTCTGTCACCCATATAATCATCATCAATTACTCGCGTGTTATCTTAATCATGTTTTATGAATGACATTTTCTCTATTTTTTCCATGCTTAGGGGCGGCCAAACCAAAACATGGCACAAATCCATGAAATCACTGACAACTGGACTGAGTCATGTTGGTAGATGAAGGCTACCTGGTTGGGGTCCGCGAGACGTATATCACCAATGGTTAGAGACCTTGAAAGACATGGCTCAAAATCGTTTGCAATGGCGCAGGTGCATCCACCACTCTTTGTGTTCTCTCAAATTCTAACCTTCTGAATTCTTCATCGCTATCTTTCTCTTTTTAACTGTATCTCACTGAATTATACCCTAACCCTCTCCATTACTGTTAATACTTCTACCTTCGCTATCACTGTTAGATTTGAACTGATAGTTGCGTCTCTGTGCTAATGCATTATTGCAAACTGAACTGATGTGCGTACGCACGTACGTACGAAGTTCTGTGTTGTATCTGTCTGTCTGTCTCTCTCTCTGTCTATTTCGTTCATATGAAACTTATAGAAGAAAATGAATTGTTTTATTATTGAGTCCGTTGTACTATCGAACTTCAATATTTCAATATGCAGTCATTGATTGTCTGCCGCTTAAAATATATATAGATAAGCATATTTGAAGCATACTTATGCTAAATAGGTTATGCAGTCATTGATAGACGTTATTAATGTGTTAAACTAAACTAGAGAAAAAACGAACATGTTCCTCATAAGAAAGTTGTCTAGATTCTCATCATATTGAAAGAAAAAGACATTTAGTTTTGAATTCCAAATAGTATGCTAGCAGTTATTGGTTACGAAACAAAAGTCACCGATGGTTAAAGATCTTGCAGGACATGGCTCAAAATCGTTTGCAATGACGCAGATGCATTCATTCTTTGTGTTCTCTCAAATTGTAATCTTCTGAATTCCTCATTACATTTATCTTTTTCTTTTAAGTTTATTTCACTAGATTCTACTTCTGGGATATTATACTCGAACTCTTAATCTCTCCCACTACTGCTAATACTTCAACTACCTCTACTACTATTGGATTGAAGTGACCATTGCGTCTCTGTGCTGATGTGGTATGGCAACTTGAACTGACTTACGTACGTAAGAAATTCTAAGTTGTAATTAACTGACTGACTACTTTTCTCATTGGTTGATTATGTAGTGAAAACGTGTGGAAATATTCCGTGCTGTGAATTTCATATTGTCCTAAACCTATAATATTAAATATACCATTCTTAATTCTTAACATTATTATTCATATTATACAATTCATATTCATGTCAGATAATATTGACTAATGGGTTTTTAAATCTATACTCTACTACTGTTGTTATAATTCAGTTAGTTTACATTATATGCTAGTGTAGTTGAGCATTGGTTTAAATTCTGTTCCACGTCGAAATAGTTCTTTCCTGATTGTCAAGAGAACGTGGATAAATATCTATACTTTGTAACAAATTATTCATTTTCAAGTTTTCTTTAATGGATTTGAAATTTGTATTCGTTTTCTTACACACATGTACCAGAATTGTTTATCAATTAACTTACTTACTCTCATACTTACACCTATTACCCTTAATGGAGCATAGGCCGCCGATTAGCGAATTATTTTTCTGGTTAGCGTTTTTATTTTTAGTGAGTTGAATTTCTACGGGATAGGGTCGCTAACTCTATGCCTAACCTTCCTCCTTTATCCGAGCTTGGGACCGGCAGTTACCTTAGAAAAAGACTCCAGGCGAAGTTTTGTTTATCAGTAGTTAATATTTTCTTAGAAACACTTCAGAATAATGAAACTATCTATAAGTAATTAAATAAACCTTCAGTTTTATTTGGTCAGCTTTGAGTCACACATAGAGATGAAGATTTATTTTATTACCCAGCTACCCGAACCGAAATAGTTCGAGCGGGTTCTTACATGTGTCTCATTAGTTGAATGCTTAAACCAATAAAACACCACATGAAAACCATTTAGTTGGTTTCCATTACCTACTTTGTACATGTGGATTCAAACTACACTTATCTCCTATATTGTAATATACACTCAGATAATATTACTCACTACTCTTCACACAAACACTGAACACTTAGTTAAACCAGGAGTAAACAAATCTGTATTTCATTACTCAGCAGCATTTCCTACCAGTATTTTTGTAATTCTTTTCAATCATCCCCTAATTTTGGACCTTGAGATTCATTGTTCACTATTTAATGATCAAGAACAGAGAATACTATTTATAGGCAAGATCGCTTAGAGATGATAAATGAGTGCACACTGACAGTGTTATTATCTCTAATCTAGATTAAACTGTTCAACCTAGCGAACACAACACATTCAACAAGATCGTTAATTTTTGTCTCTTGAATGTAACCTAGTTTCCATATAATGTTTATGTATTCCATATTTCATGAAACTATTTGTACAAAGGCTAATTATACTACCCTAAATACCGTGAACTAAAATGATTAACATTACGGGGTTGTGGAGATTGTTGAGTTGCACATTTTTTGAAACCATGAATCGATCAATGTTAGATCACCATTCGAAACCTGGAAGCACTAGACGGCCGCTTCGTCCGCCTCAGCAGTGCGCATCCACGACTCCTGCACCCCGCAGGATTCGAACCCAGGACCTTCGGTATTGTGCGCGAACGCCTAACCATCGGACCACTCTAGCCGGTATCTAACGGTGTTAATGTCTAACTTGATCAATTCACGGAGTTGCGCAACCTCATACAGAGTCTTCGGTAGTTACTGTCTACACCCGAACTTCACTGGTCATGTCTTCCCACTAGAACTCGGAGAAGATTCCTCACGAAGCTAGTCATTAGTGAGCACAGGTAATTTGAGGAGTCCCATACCAGGACGAAATTGCCGTCCAGTGCTTCCGGGTTTCTAATGGTGGTCTAACATTGATCGATTCATGGTTTCAAAAAATTTCTAAAATGATTAAGTCAGGTTTTTTTTAACCTTCGTACAGTTCCGATTGAAAATTAAATGCTTTGCCATGAAACCACCGCTCCATAGACTCGTGATCATATAACTTCAGACTTTCTTCCATTCATTTTAATTACTGTATTCTCAACTTCTTTATCTGTTTAGCTGTACTATTTTCCATTCATTTTGTTTATTTAGGAGTCTAAACAGTTTAGCAAATCAATATGAGTTTTCAACCAGCATCAGCATCATCATCCTCACCATCGTCATATTATCATTCATCAGATTTATCCAATTCAAATCATTTTATTCCTACTGACGTTAATGCCATCAATGAGAATCATGTTGATCGAGAATATTTTCAACAAAAAGTTTATTATTATTTAAATGAATTACGTATTTTTGTTCAACAAGCACCTTTGTAAGTTTTTATCGTTAGAATATTCTTCGATTTCATGTTTCTTGTTGTTTTAATAATAAGGTTTGGGCAATGTGACTAGGAATGATTTATTGTAGTGTAATAATGAACGAACAAGTCATGGCCAAATGAAACAGTCATATTGTAATGCAGGTTGATGACAAGATCAAGTGGAGCAAGCCATTTATGTAGAGAAGAAGAAGACCCAATTTACTAGTCAAACATTCATTTGCAAAACAAGAAGAATTTGGAACTGTCTTCTTTCACATATCTTCTAGTGTTTAACAAACATTTTGATCGCATCATTCATTCAGATCCGATACTATTCCCTTCAGTAGTAACTTCAGGATAACACTCTGCTTTACACTACTAGTAAACCACGTTGCAAGTAGTATCCAACACAGTAGCACCAAATTGTTTCGGTTGATTATGATTATTATTATTATTATGCAGGATCCAAACTGAGGTTTGGACTGAGGAATAACTGTCTAGGTAGTTTAGATACGTGTCTTGCCCTCTTGAATTCAAAACAAGTGATTTGGGTAAATAACGGTTCTAATATTTATCATAAATATAAATTTACATCATTACCTAAACAAATATTACCACTTAGTTATCCCACCAATAATTGTTCAATTATTCAACTAAATGATATTCTACCCCTCCTGGATAGATCAGATTCGTTCAACAGATAATATTTGGTTGCTTTATAACAGAGTGTTTGTTATTCTGGAAGGGTGCTTCAATTCACAATCAAAATACACAGTTCTAGTCAAAGCAAGTAACCGACACAATCAAAACAGGAACAAATCAATTTGGCTGTCGCCATGACTAAGTATCACCTTAAACAATATAAATGCAGTTCAGAAAGAAACATAGAAACTCAGTGAAGTCAGAAGAAATAGAAACTGTAATAAAATACATTATCTCAAAATGGAATCGAACAGACTAACAAAATGTATAACTGAAGGAATCAGTAAGGATAAATTATAAATGTTATACATGGAGGGATTTTCGCGAACAAGACCTTCAAAAATGGATCTTACAATTATTATTATTATTATTATTATTATTATCGGAAAATATATGATTTTCATTGGGATCATAAATTATTGTCTTACAATTTCTCAGATATATATTAGCCAATATACTTCAGTCAATTTTTTATGTTATCCATTAGTTTACCAATTCTAAGCTGTTCCATCGACCATAGCTCAACAGTGAGTGATCAATAAGCAAATCAGTGTATGAGTTGCCAATTGTTTAATGATTTTATTGTGACCACTAACCGACTTAAGTTAAGGAAGTTTTACGAATTAGAAGGCACTGAACAGCTCTGTTTTATCCTAGTATGAGATTTCTCGCGTGTTAGTTTTTTATTCATTGCTCGAAACAAAGGTTTCCTTTGAGATAGTAGAGAAAATGTTCAGCTCAGGTGGATGTATGTGGTGGTGTTTCGTTCTATGAGCTAAAGTTTGTGCTGGTGGTGTTCTTCAGAGGAACAATGAAAACTCCACAACCAAAACATCCAGCTCAGAGAACGAAACACCGTAATAAAGGTTTCTTGTAATAGGCAACAGAGCAATTCTTTCATTTAAAGACTTTAATCATGAAAATTGATTTTCAGAGAATAAGTTCTTAATGGGAATTTTGTTAATTACTGTTTTGATGTGCAGTACCGAGATTTAAAGCGATATGTTTTAATTAACTCAAATGGCTGCTTGAACGACAAGGCAAAGAGGAGACTACAGTATAATATGAACAACTTGGCACAGAAAGCCATTTCCTAACCAATGTATTCGTCCTTTTCATTTTACCACTTCTGATTGGCTCACTCTATATCAATTATTTACTATCGGTTATCGTAATAACAATGCATTTCAATGTCTGAATTCGCTAATCTACCACTTGAATGATAAAAATTTTTCTTCATATGATAACTAAATTAATTTGAAAATCATAAATCAATCAGTGTAAGACCACCATTAGAAACCTGGAAGCACTGAAAGACGGCCGTTTCGTCCTGGTATGGGACTACTCATCAGTGGCAGTATGCATCCACGACTCCTGCTACTACTCGTAGGATTCGAACCCGTGACCTTCGGTATTGTGCGCGAACGCCTAACCACCGGAACACTGGACCGGCATCCGACGGTGTTAATGTCTAACTCTGATTGATCTATGGATTTTGCGTGAACTCAACCAATTTCCTTTGGTAGTTACTGCCTAAACCAGACAGGGTTGAACTCCACTAGTCACGTTTTCTCACTAGAACTCCGAGAATTTCCTCACTAGTGAGCAAATTTTATGATATTTTTAATTAGGATTATGGAGATTAGCGTTTTTACACATTGGAAAATCATCCATGATCTAGTGAGAAGACGTGACCAGTTGAGTTCAACTCTGACAGGTGTAGGCAGTAACTATCAAAGGTAACACTGTTGGACGGCTGCCCAGTGGTCCAGAGGTTAGACATCCGCGCACAATACCGAAGGTCATGGGTTCGAACCCTACGAGTAGTAACAGGAGTCGTCGATGCGCACTGCCACTGATGAGTAGTCCCATACCAGGACTAATGGGGGCCATCTTTCAGTGCTTCCAGATTTCTAATGATGTAGTTTAACAATGATTGATTGATGACTTTCACAAATGTGTAAAAAAACACACTAATCTCCATAATTCTAATAGAAAATAACTTGATTAATGTTTGTTGGTTTGTTTGTTTGTTTTTTTCCTCTGTCTCATGTTAGTAATATACAAACAGGCATTTCTGAAGATATGATCACACAATTAGCACATATATTAGCAGATGGTCAAATATTTATTACAGTGACTGAATTAGTCAATAGTCAACGTGTAGAAGAACAAATATTACATAAACAATTGATTGATTTACGCTCTGAACAATCTGGTTAGTTGTGTTGTATTGTGTTTTTCTATTTTTTGCTTATTAGAATTAATTCACATTTCATGTTTGTCATGTTTTTACTGCTGGACTGTGTTTTAACCTACTAAAAAAACAGAAATATATATAACATGGCTTGCATTCTAGGTTTGTAGACAAGATATATCAAGGGATTGTTTAGAAGTCAAGACTCTACATCGTCAGTCAATTAGTCAGTTAGCTATAACGTAGAACTTGGTGCGTACGTATGTACATCAGTTGACACGGACATACTACATTGGCACATACAGATGGAATTTTCAATTCAAATCTTATTGTAGAAGAGGTAGCAGAAGTATTAGCAGTATCGGAGAAGATTGCTTTCAAAGATATGATTTGAGAAGTATATCCCATAGAGCAAAAGCAGTTTACGAGGAATTTAGCAAACTAGAATTTGAGGGAACACTAAGAATGGATGTGTCTGCGCTATTGCAAACGATTTTGAGCCATATCATTTAAGGTATCCCAGTCTATAACCCAGGACCAAAGTGTTACGCCTTCACGTAAACACGTCAACTTGATATACTTGAACTATTGTGGGTTTACCTAGTCAGAAAACGAGAGCGAGGATCGAGGATCCGGCGACATGACATGCTACTTAAATTCGATTATCCAAACCCCCACATTTAGTAAAAATAAGAAGACGGGATGTGAAGTAGAACATGTATTCTACAAGCATCCGGAAAGTACGAAGTCCGAATCCAGATGAGAATCAGGATCCCGGACTAGGGATCCGGGACCGAGCCCTGGTCCTGATCGTGGTCATAAAACGTTACAAATAATGCGTATATATACATTTTGGTCGAATAGGAAACAGCTTCGAAGTCTGTGACATTGGCAGTTAAGACGACCATTAGGAAACAACATTGGAGTACGTGACACTGATACCTAGTACGGCCATAAAATTGACCAGTAGAAATTAACCAATAGGAACTGACCAATAATTCTCTTAGGATATTGGATGAATATCCTAACACAAAGTCCTCTGCTGATAATCACAGAAGGATCACTTAGGCTAACACTTAGACGCCTAACTAAAGCTGGTGGAGAGAAGTTCCGGTTAAACCAGGCTGGTTTCAGACCTGAATGTGGCTGTATAAACCACATGCTTATATTATGTCAGGTGCCAAAACATGGATACGTTCAGTCGTCCAACAACAGTAATATTTTTCGAATTCAAGGCGGCGTTTGATTCTGTTGATCGTGAGGTTCTGTAGTAGTTTCTGACACTGAAAGGAGTACCAGAAAGGTAAATAAACTTTTTGCAAGCTCTCTACTCGAATATTACTGGTCGAGTCACTGCTTATGAGTAACTGTCACCGAAAATGATCACTTCAAGTAGTGTTCGTTAGAACTGTCCTTTTCCTCCATTCTTGTTAAACTTGGCTATTGACAAACTTTTAGAGTTAACTTTTTCTTCGGCTGACTTTTCATGGTTGAACCTTCTACCAGGAGACACGCTTGTTGACCTAGAATATGCTGATGACATAGTTGTATTTGACTAAGACGCTGGCGAAATGCAGTCTTCTGACTACCCTAAGCAACAATGCAAGCATGTTTAGAATGCTATTTTTTCCCTGGAAATGCAAAATGTTGCTTCAAGATTGTGTTTCATCGGTACCTGAACTAGTGATAGGTAGTGAAGTAGTTGAGCGTGTCGACCACTTCATCAGTCCTGATGGCTTGGTGTGTGACGATATATATATATATATATATATATATATATATATATATATCAGTCTAATAGAGACGTCAGTTGCCGCCCAAAGCAGTTCAGTTATTATCCCTCGTACTTTGGAACTGGGTGTGTCAGTTTGAGCTCATCAGAGGAGCATCAGTTCTTTGAAAGTTGTAGGTAAAACACACTAACTAATCTTAACTTATAGGCGATCTAAGTTCCATTGTTCCTTACTGACTGATGATTCTGAATACGGTTTACTATTCTCTTTCTCTTTTATCTAAGTAAATTTAAGTTTGGAGCAAACTAAGACTGAGCACTTGTTTTTTGTTGTTTTTTATAATTTCTATTTTCATTTAACAAAACAAAATTCAATGCTTTCTTTTGTATTTAACATTAGCTTGTCGATCTGCTTTAAGACGAAAACACAGAGAAGAAATGTCTATGAATTCCTCTCGACCACATCATCTACCAGTGTTAAAAAAAGAACATGAACAAGAAATGCAAGTGAGCTCATCCTTCTTTGTTCATCTTTTACATTGTATTATTAATTAATTTTTTTAGGTTTGTCGTTTAAAAGGCGCTAACACTCATGTTGGTAGATGTAGGCTATCTGGTTGGGTTCCTCGAGCCGGAAGTCACCAATGGTTAGAGACCTTGAACGACATGACTCAGAATCGTTTGCAATGGCGCAAGTGCATCTATTCGTTGTGCTCTCTCAAATCCTAATCTTCTGGATTCGTCAACACCTCTACCTTTGTCTTTCTAACCTTATCTCATTGAATTAAACTTCTTGAATAATATCTTCAAACCCTAGTCTTCTTCATTACCAATAATACCTCTACTATCTCTATCACTATGGGATTTGATTTGACATTTGCATCTCTGTGCTGATGGGGTATGGCAAGCTTAACTTATGTACATACGTACGAAGTTCTACGTTGCAACTGACGTAAACGTTTATCGCATACTTTGTATTGACTTGAACTACTCTGTAAAATATTTTCTTTAGCAAATCTTAGTCAATGTATACACTTTTAAAGTAGCTCGTCTTACGTCTGTCTAAGTGACAATGATATACTCTTTCGGTTATCATTTTAATATAACGCAGAAAATAATAAAAGTTGAATAAGAAATATGTTTAAGACTTATGTATGTCAAACTTGTGCATTGATTACAGGCGAACGAAAAAAAAGAGAAATATGTTAACCGAACGGACACAAATAGAACAAACGATAAAGGCCTGTTTCATATATCTAAGTCTGAGTTATCCTTGTCTTTGGAAATAGACAGCGTACTAGATTTAAGTGAGTAAGGTTATGTGTGCATGTTGAAGAGGTTCCTAGAGGCCTCCAGAGACTTCTAAGAACTCAAGGAGATCCCTTCCATTCGTAACTCGATAGAATATTTAGAATATCAGTGTGCCATACGGTTATTGGACGAAGTTGTAACATCGCTGTTGGACGGTTATAACGATGTTTTCACTCTGTACCAAAAATTATCAATACTCATAGTTTTCCTGCACATTTTCACACTTACTAGATAATAAACATTTCTCCTGTTTTCTTCCGGTTTTTTGATTCTCCCCCCTGGGGCTAGGTGGTTCTGCTCATTTCAGTACCAAAGGTTGTATTATGCATTAACCGTATACAGTAAACGACTTAACAATATACCTAGGTTAATTTCTAGCAGGCGTTAAAGCCAATACAGGTGTTGTATAACCGAGGAATAATGGTTTGTGAACTCGCATTGTTTGCATTAGCGGTGCAGCGTGATAAATGAATGTGAAAAGAGTTAGTCGTGGAGATAAGAGAGCTGTTTTGGGGGTGTAGGAAGGATCTGATTTTTGACCAATTCGGTCTCGTGTACTATAACGAGTATGAGGGCGGGTGTCACTTCCTAGCTGCCAATACCGTGGAAGGGCGTTTCTCGAGGAACCTGAAAAGGAAGATAGATTAGCGTTGGCCTTAACGACCTGGGAGCGTGACCGTAAAACCGGTCTCGCACGGCCTTTTTATGGCTAGTTTTTAATGTGTTAGCTCCGTCCTTTTTAAAAAGTTTTACCTCCGGAGATGGAAATCCGTGAGGTAGAGTGAGGTGTGACATTTTTAGGGTCGACCTTTTCTAACCCTTCTGCAGCATCGCTGCAGATGCTGGTTGTCCGAGGGAAACACCTTACTGCTGTCACACCCCTCCATCACAGTCAGCAGTACGACTTCGCCCTCAGACCTTGAGTAGCTGCTTTCAGTCTCATCGCTCACCAGTCGAGCTGTCTGGCATGGTAGAACCTTCAGGAACATATGTTCCAGCCAATATAGCTCGATTGAGTCATTACAATAGGCAAGCCGGACCACCACGCCAAATCAGCAGCTATGGTCGGGTCTGCATCACCCTATTTATCAAGTCTCTTTTTTGTAAGTCTGGTTAACTTCTTTTGAGTTCTCACTAAATAAAGTTAAAAAGTTCAGTCACATTTCCAAATCAATTATATCACCGCATTTCGCAAATTTGTTTTTGACTTCTTCAAGAAAAAAGTATCCTTTCACAATCGTATAACAATTAGTTTAGTGGTTTCAAGGACGAGTGTACTGCGCAGCAGTTCGCTCTGTCCTACTATACGGATGCGAAACATGGCCGTTAAAAGTAGAGGACATTCATAGGTTACTAGTCTTCGATCATAGGTGTATCCGAAGCATTGCTCGTATATCCTGGGACGACCGAGTAACCGATGCTATCGTTAGGAAACGAGTTCAAGGTAAGAATGGCAAATCAATAGATGAAGCATTGAAACTTCATCAGTTGAGGTGGTTGGGACATGTGTTACGAATGCCTAACCACCGGTTGCCTCGACGAGCTATGTTTTGCAGTGTAGGAGTAGGTTGGAAAAAAGCTAGGGGCGGCCAAAACAAGACATGGCACAAATCCATGAAATCACTGACAAGTGGACTGAGTCATGTTGGTAGATGTAGGCTACCTGGTTGGCGTCCGCGAGACGAAAGTCATCAATGGTTAGAGACCTTGAACGACATGTTTCAGAATCGTTTGCAATGGCGCAGGTGCATCCAATCTTTGCATGCTTTTTGATTCTAACCTTCTGAATTCCTCATAATCCCTATCTTTCTGCTTCTAAATTTATCTTACTGAATTATACTTTTCGAATGATATCTTCGCTCCCTAATCTTCTCCATTAGTGCTAACACTTCTATTATTACTATCACTGTTGGATTTAAACTGACAGTTGCGTCTCTGTGCTAATGTGGTATGGCAACCTGAACTGATGTACTTATATACGAAGTTCTGCGTTGTATCTGTCTAATTTAGTGGTTTCATTTAATAAACTGAAATCATTTTTTATCTTGCTAATCAATGAGTATTTAAAAAATAACCATTGAAAGTGTAAAAAGTGTTAAAAAAAAGTTTCTTTTTTAAAAAAATTTTATTATTTAGCGTTTAACAAAAAATCAAACAGATGCATTACGTAATTTATCCTTAAGAATATTGGATTCATTAGACGGACGTGTTGTTGAACAACAATTAACATTAGAACGTTTAGGTGTGCCAACATTTATACGTACAACTAATGCTCAATTAATACGTATTCAAATGAGAATATTAGATTGGATTGTACGTTTAAGTCGTCATACATTACCTCCAATGTCAAGTTTAACAAATCTTAACACCACATCTCCTCCTACATGGCCTCCATGAATATGCATAAAGAAAAAAAAACTGTTTTCATTACAATTTTTTATGTTATTTTAACAATTAGAATGTATTTATGTAGTGTGATTTTATTTATTACCAGTTACATTTGTTTTACTAGATATTATTATTATTATTATTGTGAAGTTCATTTTTATATTTGAAACAAAAAAAAATAAATAAATAAGTCATAATACACATACAATTTTACATGTTGAATTCAATATTCTTGTACAAATTCAATGTTCAATTCTTTCAATTTTTCCTTGTTTGTATTTTACATGATACGTTTTGTTTATTTGTGTTTTGTTTTTCGTTTTTTTTTTTGAAATTTTATTTTATCCAATGAATCAATCAACAGAATCACATAATTTATACTTTTGATAATAAAAAAATGTGTCATGTAATCACTTCCAGCTTCCTTTAGAATAATCTTTCATGTTATAAAGATAAAGCTGTATTTATAAATCTTTGTCTAATTTAAATTTCAAAGTTCCTAATGTTTATTTTATACAATTTCACTGTTTATTGTTTCAATTTTTTTTTTAAATATCACATTGAAATTAGTAGATGGGTTCAATGAGGAAAAGAAAAATATTACTTTTTAAAATATTATCTTTATTTTCTTATATTTGTTTTAATTAAACTGTAATGAGTGAATTTTTAACTATTAGTAAATATGATTTGATGTGATTTACTTTCAGCGTGCGGTAGATAGATCCTATGCAATGCTTCTTGTATGTAACACAACGGAAATCAAGGTCATATGAATAACTAATGTCTGTATATGAAACTAATGTAACAAAAAGAACGATAGATCAGGGGCAGTCTTTTCATGACTGCATTGAATTTCTTGGAATTGGTGTAGTCCTTTATATAATGGGTGTTAGATCAGTTAGATTTCAGTTTTTTGGAAAAAAAATAGCCTCATATATTATTGTATGATGTTTTCTTTCAACAATGATTCTTTTGCACGTTATTCCATGCCTGATTCGCGTTCCAAATAGTTCTTGAATTCTGTTCAGGTTCATATGTGATTACTAGTGTACGAATGGGATAATTTCTGAATATTACTAGTAAGTAAGTATATGGGATGTAGATACTTCTGAACGTACCGGGCGAGTTCAGTTTACTTTTGGGGAAAGAATAGGTTTATTTTAGGTGAAGCTTGGGGCATTGCCGATGCTAATATTTTTGTCTATGTTATACCAGAAACACGGACTGAGGTTACTGAGCATGAACTCATAGTACTATCTAGGTACTGTGGTGTCAGACTGACAATGCACCTATTCACTGCAGAAGTTAAATTCAAGTTTACAGTCGCTGGTTTTGACAGGCTGTGCAATAAGCATTACAGTTATTATTATGTGTTTTCTGAATAGTAGTCTGTGTCGATAGCGTCTTAGGATGCCTTTATCACTTCTTATTATGCCTAATGGTTTTACTGGGAGTGGGAATCTGAGAGGATGTGTCGACCTGGTATCTTGGTTGAAGATCCAGTGAAGCTGTTTTAGTCAAGTCATCCGAGTTACGCATATCCCTCCGAGGTTGTTGTAACGCTCGCTTAATAGTTCCCAGCTAATTCCTATTGCTTAGTATATTCTCTGACCATAATACACTGGGCAAGTTCCAAAAATCAGAACACGGTGGAACAGGAAAAGATGAAATTCCAAATGGTAAGGCTAAATGGGATTGAGAAGCCAAAGGCGAAGGCGAAATAGATACAACGTTAGTGTCCTTACAGTTTTTACATGAGAAGCTTCTGGAATGTAATCCACTTGATTGACTAGCAATGACCAGATTAGATTTAGCCAATCAACATGCAGCTAACAACACGAGAATTTAATAGCCTACTCTCTAAGTATGGGCCAGGCGCTGAGGCGCACTGTCGATTGACGTTCAGAACTTTTTTTATAACTCTGTCGCTCGAGAATGGTATTTTCGACGCACTACTAAACCCAGTATTCATATCTTTACTAATTTTCCTACTTATTATAGTGCAAGATATGGTAGCAGTGCTATTACTGAACATGGTACCTAGTAGATTTAACAACGAAAATTGAGAAAATTTCAAGTGGAAAATATGCCAAATAGGTGTTTTGGAGGGAGGAAAAAAATTATTATAAAACTGGATGAATACAAACTACGAAAAATTAGAACCTAAAAGTCACTCATAATTGCATCGTTAACTTTGACTGTCCTTGTAAGCAACTCCTTATGAATGCTGTAGTTTTCCCACAAGTCCTGTGTTTGCCAGCGAATTGAAGTGTCTATGCTGCCAAAGCAACTAGAAAGAGCAGTAGAACTGCACAGTGGTTGTGATTTGGAATGATCTCGTTTATCCGGATCGCTACTCAAACTGTCTACCAATGAATGGAGATAGAGTTTATATCTGTTTCGAGGCGTGACCATCAGGAGTCATCAAATAGTTTTGACTTTTAAAATAAACCGATGGTGTTAAGCATAGTTAAAAATATAATAATGCCTTCCTTACACAACAGCATTTTCAACTCCAGTGAACCTTCTGAACACTTTATTGTGTAGGGCTAGTGAAATGTCACCGAACCGTAACAATACCATCCTTCGGGTCGTTCACTATATTTCTTACAGCTAAATGAGCCTCGTTAGGGTTAAGGCCGACTTACTCGGATCATTGATAGAAAGCGATGATAAAGTACATTCAAAAATATTTCTAAGATGTACTTCTGAAATTTGTGTTCATTAATAAATGCTGTTGCACCGATAGAGTTGTAGTCTTATTAGAGTTTAATTAAGATGGTCGTTTGCGCGAATGTGATAGTTGACTACAATAGTGATTTCTTTGTATATTATCCCTCGCCTAAATAGAACTCAGAATCAAACTTTCGTTGGTGCTCACGTAGGTCGATTAAATTCAGTTCTGGTTCAAACAAGTCTGCTGGAATACGGATTTGAAATTACCGGATATAATTACTACTGATTATCTCAAGAAATCACCAGTATCAGTCATTCTTCTGCCAAGTGAAATTTTTAATCATCCAATTACCCTAACCATAATTATCAGTTATTAGCTGTAATTATGATTTACTTATTCATCGCATGATCAGCATTTACTGCTCATCATTTTGTAAAGATTTATATAACTGAATGAATCCTACAACACTATTTTGACCAGATTATTTACATTTAAAGCTTTACGTGCTTGGAAAATTATGATCAACAGACCTCAAAAAGGTTGCTTCTTATCATAATCCAAACTCCATACTTGCAACTAGCTTGCATGCAACACCTATCTGGAATTATGAATATGAATAAATGCTTAACTGAACATTTGGAAATTTAGTTTAAAGCTTTTCGCTTCAGGACGACTTTATGTTCAAATTATTTAAATCACTGGTGTTTGAAATTCATAATATTATCTGAATCAAATAAACTTTTGATGAAAAATCCTATTGGTTCTTAGTGTTAATAAATCGTAATAAAGTTAAGCACTTTAGAAAGCGAGCGAATTTCACACAACTAAATAAAAGTATTATACGTGACAAAAAGTAAACTGAATACTAGTTGAAGTTCAACTTCGTTGTGGTTGTTCTTATTCTACTTCAGTTTGCTTACTAAAGTAGGTGTACTTAAAAAGCGACAAATACAGACAGAATACACACAAACTGATTTCATAATTGAGTGCATAGATAGTGCATTTATCAGCACTCCTGCATAATAACCCTTTTCTATATAATTTATAATACCCTCGAAATGATCTAATGGCACCATCCAGAGGTTAAATGATTAACTACATGTTATCGATATTAACAACTCCGCCAGTAGAACCTTCGAGGCTACTGCCGGTC